GGATGCGGGAGGGGGAGTAAGTTCTGTTTTTTATCACTGAGGTACAAGTGGTACTCCTGGTTGATGAGGTACTTTGTCGTAGCCGATGTCCGAGATGAGGCTGTGATGCTCAACATTTGCCGGTGATATCTCAAAAACGGCTAAAGTCTTGCCAGAGTGTTTCGATGGGAGAAATTTTTTGAGCTGGTAATCTCTTTAGAAGACGAAACGGATATCAGTACTGCAAGCAGGCTGACCACCATGGGATGCAGTACTGACGACCACCATGAGATGAAGTACTGATGGAGGAGGGAAGCTGCAAATTGCAGCTGATTTACGCATACAGTATTCCTGACTTGTACAGCTCAAAACCGAAGGGCGTGACATAGCTGCGCATTACCTCTCTGCGAGCACCCCAACCACATCACTAATAGGGGATGCCCACAGCAACGCCCGAGCGGTCTTGTTATCCTGTTGCATACAGTAATACCGATGTTTTTTTGTGAAACTGATTATCGTGGATTTTGTGTTTCTCCCGATCATATTTGCTGCTTAGCTTTGTCTTTCATATCCGGATTCTACTGAAGTTGTATGTAATCAAAATTTAAAATTTTGAATCATAATCGATAAAGCTGAATAAATATTGCAGAGTGACCGGCCTGGCATCCAGTGTACAGGAAGTGGACAGGGCTGTCGGCGATTTTTTCATCAGGTAACTTTTTGGCCAGCCAATCTTTCAGTCTTTGAATCTGCGAACTGTGTAAGATGCTTCAAACTCAACTTGAAATTCTGAGATTACGTCGATGTTGGGGCATTATTTATTCCATATTTTTTTATGCATTCACATCGACATATTCAATCGGTATTTTTACACCGCTGGCTTTCTACTGTTTCATTTTCCTTTCATATTTTCCATCATTTTTCTCGTGTTTTTTCATAGTCTCTACGAAATGAGCCGGAAAGTTTTTGTTAGAAATTCATATGCTCTATCAATAGCAGAGAAATGAGTGCAGCATCTTCCCACATCCGCTATATTCTGCTGAAAAAACTGAAGGGTGAAAGCTTATATGCTAACTGCGTGAATGTTTAATGCGTTTTTTTGCAGGAATGCAGTGAATTGTTGCCTGATGCCTTCCGGGCAATTGTGGCGGAGCCGCGCGCCGAATGGATTTGTCCGGAGTGTATGTGCCGCCAACAAACCCAGCTTACTTTTGCATAGTTGTCATCTTGTATTCTGTTTCTGTGTATTTTCGAGTGAATCAAAAAACTCATTGGTGGCAGGACCATATCTGTGCGTATGTATATCACGAAGTGCGAAAAC